ACCTCATCTCCGACATGACCACCTCGGGCTCCGGCTCCGGTACGTGCGGGCCCCGGGGGCTCTGCCCAAACGCAGCGGTTCGGTTCTCTATGGGAATGGAGGCGCTGGAAACGGGAACTGAGTAATCAGAACCACGCGTGGAACCCCGCGCTGCCGGCTGGTGCGGCGTGGCAGACAAAGAAAGGTGCGAAGCTCACCTGAGTGGCTCAGGATGCTGCTTCCCCCTTTTTTTGTTTTGTGTTTCATAGCAGAATAATGTTCCTCCAAATTCTTGTTTTGAGCAGAACATTAATCTTTTTAACATTTTCCCCATTTCTACTCTGATGCCTCCATTGCTATTGAGAACTTGTTAAACCAAAGAAACCGAAAAATGAGGTGGGAAATCACAAATTCCAGCTCATTTGAACAGCCCAACTTTCCCTAACTAGAGCTTTTATTGAAAAGTATGTAAACTATGCTTGCTTTTATTTGTAAGTGAAAAATGCACAAATGGTGCCTAATTTAATTTATTTCCGTGAGCTGCATACCTCCGAGGATTAAGTTGTTGTTCTTCCCTAATGCCTTTTCGCAGCTCTAATGAGCAGACTTTGGCGTTATTTATGCTGAAGTTTCAACACTTCCCAGGTATCCCTGAGACAGGAACAGGGCTGGACTTGAGCAGCACCAGAGCTCCATGCATCGGGGTGATTTGTTCTGATTTCAGCCAAAGTCAAGGTTGCAGTTATTAAAAAAAAAAAAAATCCTTGTTTAAGTCTCCAACAAACAGAGAATCAAACCAAACCAGGCAGGGTTCTTTGTGGCTGGCAAAGCACAGTGGAGCTGCTATAATAATTTATTTTTATTTTCAAAAATTTCAGCCAGAGTAGAGCAACTAATTGACTCCAGGACAGCTGCAGTCTGTATCAAACCAAATGGAGTAGTTTGGGCCAAATTTTAAGATTTTTACTGGGGTTTAAAATGTTTTTTCTATGTACAGACACTGGGAAGTGACATCAAAAAGTCTGATTTGAGGAGGTACTGGCTGGGAGAGGATTTTCCCTTGGCATGGTTGGGAAGCAAAGCCGTGGGTGCAGCTCTGGGAGAGGGCAGTGCTGGGGTTTGAGGCCCCAGCTGAGCCATTTCACAGCCCCCTCCTCTCTTTTCCCCAGGCCTGCCTCTGCTGGTGCAGAGAACCATCGCCAGGACTATCGTGCTGCAGGAGATCGTGGGCAAGGGGCGCTTTGGGGAGGTGTGGCACGGCAAGTGGTGCGGGGAGGACGTGGCTGTGAAAATCTTCTCCTCCAGAGACGAGCGGTCATGGTTCCGGGAGGCAGAGATTTACCAGACAGTGATGCTGAGGCACGAGAACATCCTGGGCTTCATCGCTGCTGACAACAAGGGTGAGCAGCACGGGGCTGCCTGCCTCCTGCACGGCTCTGTGCCACAGAAATCTTTTGTGGAAACCCTTTCCTTAGGACTTTTCCTCCTGAGAAGCTGGGAGGCCTCAGGAACAAAATGCAACCAATGGTTATCTGCTGCTGTGGAATGCAACAGGTGCATCTGGGATTGGGCTCATGGGGTTGTTTCTAATTAATGGCCAATCACACTCAGCTTGCTCAGACAGAGAGCTGAGCCACAAACCTTTGTTATCATTCCTTCCTATTCTACTCTTAGCCAGCCTTCTGATGAAATCCTTTCTTCTATTCTTTTAGTACAGTTCTAATGTAATATATATCATAAAATAATCAATCAGCCTTCTGAAACATGGGGTCAGATCCTCATCTCTCTCCTCATCCTGGGACCCCTGTGAACACGGTCACAGCTCTGCCAGCCCAAACAGCTCTGATTCTGTGTGCTGGGCTGGGTAATTGTTGGACTCAGTGCTCCTGGAGTGCCTCCCAGCCCCAGTGGTGACACTCACTGAACCCTGAGTGTCTGTCCCAGCACAGCTTCTGCTGCCCCAGCTCCATCTGAAACACAGCCCTGGGCTCTTCCCTGGCACACCTCCTTGCTGGCATTCCCCAAAAAGGGGAAGCTAACATTTCCCTAGCTAACATTGCTGTGAAAAACGCCAATCACTTGTTTTTAAAATTTTGGAAGTTTAATAGTAATAAAATGGTTATAAAAATAGTAATACAATTAGAGTAATAATAATTGGACAATTTGGATTAGGACAATGTGAGACAATAGAGACAAAGAGTTATGGATGGCCGGGTACCTTTTCTGGGCAGCACAAGCCTGAAGGAGCCCAAAAAAGGACACCTGTTAACAGAGGATTAACCCTTAAAAGCAACAACCTGTTGCATATTCATACATTTCATACATGATGCATAAATTCCATTCAAACACAAGATTCTGTCTGGGCAGTGTCAGCTTCTTCCTCTGAATCCTGACAGCACCTTCGAGGTGGGAAGAAGTTAGTTTCTTCTGATAATGGAGCAATCAATTCTTTTTCTCTGAAAGATT